TTGGGAACTTTAGTTTTTTCATCAAGGAACATGGCAGCCATCGCTGCAAGCACATTTTATGGGGAGAACAAAAGTAAGTGCATAAAACTTTTATAGCCAAAAATTGCTCAATGAAATGTTAGCATATTTTAGATGAGGCTCTTAATAACACATTAAAACATAGTGTGCTTAATTCTAACTTTTTTAGTATAGTATTGAAGTGTTTAAAAAATGTCCTCCGTAGTGGCCATTTGTAGTCATTGCCTCCATTTTGTTCTGTTTTTTTAAAATGACCAGAAAATGAGTCCTTTTTAGAAGCAGAAATAGATTTATTGCAGTTTGTTGAGGGAAACTCAGATCTTGAGTTGTCTGATGAAGAAGATCATAGGGAATAAGCCCTTCAAGCAGAAAGAAAGGGGAGCATCAGAGATGGTACTCAGACGAAGTCCTCCTGAACTTGCAGTTCTGTACTTTGTTGATCTGGCAATCACCAACTCATGGCTTCAGTATAGCAGTGACTTGCAGTTTTGGGTGAAGAAACCACTAAAGTTCCCTGACTTCAAACTGCTCCTTGGTGAAGAGTTGAAGCAAATGTTTGCCATAAAAGTTCAGTTTTACATGCTTGGCCTTCCTATGTCCTCTGCAGTGGACATGTGACAACTTTTTTCCCCCAAAATATTATTTCTGTCTTTCTGATTACTTTACAAACATTGGGGGATTTAAAAAAAAAAATAAATAAAAAAAAAAAAATGATTGGACAACTTTTCTTTTTTCCTGGTAGTCAGGAGGATGTGGCAGCCTTTATAATAAATGATAAATCAAATTAACGCAAATAAACGGAAATTGTAGTAAATTAAAGTTGTTACTGCTGGTTTTTGAGCTCACAGATTGTGTTAATGATCTCCTCTCTGTCCAGGTCAAAAGAAAAGGAGGATAGCCAACACTCAGCTCAACCGTGAATCCAGCCGCTCCCACAGTGTCTTCACAATAAAACTTGCCCAGGCACCACTAGATGCTGATGGGGACCACATACTACAGGTGACGCGCAGCCCTTATTTAAACATGTTTATATATGTCAGTGATATCTGTATCTTCAATTATACCTTTTTATTAAAAGAAATACAGATGTTTTTGTTTTTATAATGCTTGGTGATGCTGACACAATGTCACTGAACAACAGGACAAAAACCAGGTGAATGTGAGCCAGCTGTGTCTGGTTGACCTGGCCGGCAGTGAGCGCACTAACAGGACCAGAGCAGAGGGAAGCCGTCTCCGTGAAGCGGGTTTGTCTGTTTTTTCTTTCAGCTTTGCTAATGTTGACCACATTCTGAAAGTTACTTTATGTAGAAATCACTTTTCTTAGGAGGCCAAGCATTTTTAGTTATGTCTCATTTGCAGGAAATATTAACCAGTCCCTGATGACGCTGCGCACATGTATGGAAGTCCTGCGTGAAAATCAGATGTGTGGAACTAATAAGGTTCATGTTTTATCATTTTCCCGCCTCCTTGAGGCATGATCTCTGTTTTTAACATTTGGGTTTTTTCATTTATTGCAGTTTCAGAGCTGTTGTTTTCTTTCAGATGGTGCCATACAGAGACTCTAAAGTTACCCATCTATTTAAAAACTACTTTGATGGGGAGGGAAAAGTCAGGATGATTGTTTGTGTCAACCCAAATGCTGATGATTATGAAGAAACTGTGGTAAGACATTTTCTTTTCGTGTAGTAGAATGGCCTGCAT